GAAAATTATACTGATAATAATAATCGATCCGTTCTTGAAGCCGTAGAAGATTTATCTGATTTTTGTACATCCAATACAAATCAACAAGCAATTATTGTTCGAGAATTATTTACAAAGGTATTAGAAGGCAAACCACATGCAAGAAAAGCTATTGGACATTTACTTGGTATGACATTTCAAAAAAATGTCATATCTGATCAAGGTTTTCTATCTGGTTTAAAAATGCTAATTGAAGTTGTACCAGATTATATAGTGGATATTCCACTTGTTTGGCAATATATTGGTGAAATTCTTGGGTCATTTATAAGTGGTTCATCATCGAATATGTTATTGTTAAAATCTATTTTACCATTAATACCAGATGAAGTATCAAAACAATTATTTCAATATATCATTCGTTATGCAGTTAAATTTTCTTCTAAATCTCATGTACAAACAAATTGGCAATCTGTTAATTTTTCATTAAATGATTTATTTGAATCAAATTCTCTCGATTCTTCATTCGTTAATCAATATAATTGGTTGGAATCAGATATATGAGTATGCAACATACACAACTGACGGTGGATTTTTTTCTCCTTGCTTTTTTTTTCTCAGTTTTTATGTAGTAACTATTGTAAAATACGATTTGTTATTGTTTCTTTTTTGCTTTATCAATGATGAATACATTATAAAAAAAACATCTCTTTTGATCTAATATATGTTGGGATGACGAAATTGTGCGGATAAATAGTAGCACTGATCTGCCAGAGCAACACTTTTCTTTGCAAATAATATTATGAACTGAAAGAATGTATTAGATAATTCATTACTATGTTGAGAATTAATTTTAGTCTTTGTATACAATATAATAACACACATAAAGACGGTCTTATATGACAATATATTTTTGAAGACGGACCATCGAAAGTATTTCTCTTAGACTTTGTTTCACTAATCATACGGAATTCAATATAAACTTGAATATTATCGTTATACGTTTTCATAATAGAATTTTGTTGTGTTATATGCTGGCGAATCGCACTGTTGATCTTAATAGTCAGTATAAACTATGTAAAAAAGAATTTACTTCATACTAACGAAGAACACAACAACACTACGATACCGAAAATTCAATATATAATATCAAAAAGTTTTTATTACTAAACTAAAATATGCGTTATTCTTCTCTTTATTCATTCATTCATTTTGTTTTTTTTATCTTTGTATTTTTACTAGCTAAATGTTTCTACCATTATTATTAATTTTTTAAAGCACTCCAAAACGAAGAAATTAAAAGTTTATTAATAAAGAAAAAAAACTGTATTTACATCTCATTCATAAAGTCAAACTAAAACACACACACACGCTTAATGTATATATACATAGGAAAATATTTAAGAGTTTTTATGTTAAATGAATAAGCACTCGAAAAATCAATATATTAAATAAGTGTATCTAATTTTGAAATGATCATGTAGCGGAAGATTCAACTTTACTCTCCATCAGCCAATGATCACTAGGGCACTATTCGGAGAGCCACCATTGTTGGCTAACCAAAAACTGATGTTATAGCTTCCACCAATTACTGTTGCAAATGATTGGCTGAGATAATCCGAATATGTTACTGAGCCATCGTAGAAACTATAGCTGCCTGAATGAACACATGAAGTTGATATAGTACCGCTAGCACTAGCTCCATTTGGATTACAGTAAGTATAATAGGAAGTTAGTGGACTCGATTCAAAACCACCATCTTGCCACAGCTCTGCCCCGTTGTATGTGACTGAAACATCATCTAGACAATAATAGTTAGGATCTTGACGAAGAGCCAGCATCATTGTTGTTGTAGTTGCTGTAGCAACAAATGGATATGTATAGTATGTATAAGAAAATGAAGACGCATCTTGAAGGTACAGCAAAACGGTGGTTGAGCCGCTCATTATTGCTGTGCAGGTGTTGTTCAAAACGGCTGAATCAAAATAAAATAAGATTATATTTGGAGAAAAGCATAGCTTTCGTAAACATTTCTATAGCTAATACTAGTATCTGAACATGATTTAGAAAAATTCTGTACAAAATATTTAAACGTTTTTCCTGACTAATATTTTGGACTTACCAGTTGGCACGGCAACAGTTGTCGTGGGTAAAACTGTTGTAGCTAGAGTTGTTGTTACAGTTGTCGTCGTTGCAATGGTTGTGGTTACAGTGGTCGTGGTTGCAACTGTCGTGGTCGCAATGGTTGTAGTTGCAAGTGTCGTGGTTACAGTGGTCGTGGTTGCAACTGTCGTAGTTGCAAGTGTTGTAGTTACAGTTGTTGATGTGGTAGCTTTACATAGTTATAAAAATAAATATCCATCAATAATATGAAAGATTGCAGAGATCTAAGCGCATGTTGGGATCTTGAAAGCAGAGGACAGTTTGCGGCAACTGTCATAGCTAATAGTTTTCGGTTAATACGCTGCTTCAAGCGGAATACAAGGCTAAAAACCTTTTTTCACGGTCTACACTTCTCTCAACTGGCGGACATTCCTCCTACGTCAAAAATTTTCAATTACGTTTCTACAGAATAGGTGCAATGTATTCATCTACAATGAATTAGTGACTAATGTTGTTACTTGTCTTCTACCTTGTGGTTGTGTAAGCAAAACTGCAGCTGCGATGCCGGCTCCTACTAGTAATGACAAAAGAGCACAGCAGCATGGAAACCAAAAGTAAAATCCACATCTAAAAATGGATAAAAATTCTATGTAACATGATAACTATTTAATCAAACTGATAATATTTACCTTTTTCTGCAACATGATTTTTCTTCTTCTGGATCTTCATTCTTGTTGACCAATGTTTCCTCATTCCTTTTAAAATTTGAGTAAGTAGATATGTTATCAATGAAAAAAACGTCTATGGTTATTTCCGTCGCACTCAAAAATAGCTTTGGTTAGTCTAATGAAAAAGTCGAACATAGTCTGAGGATTTTATTCCATATTCAATTGGCGAGTTCAAATTAATAAATTCTAGTTTCTCAGATTAATATCGTGTCTAGCATTTATTTTGAAAAAAGCTAATTGTCAATAGAATTAGTAGTAAAATTTTGTAAAAACTTACGTCAAAGTCGGTGTTAGTGACGAAGAAGATTCCAGTTGTATAGATGATGGTGAAATCCATTGTTGAGATGGTGGTGGAATCCATTGTCCGTATGGTGGTGGAGCCCATTGCGTGAATGTTGCTGCAGCCCATTGTGTGGGTGGTGCTACAGCCAAAGGTGCCTGAGCATACGAGTCTACTTTTGGACGTACACTAATGTAGGTAATTTGTCGAGTTATCTAATATATAATGACCGACTTAATTATAGTTACTCAAATTAATGCTATCTTACGGGTCTAGGCACATATACGCCATATGCTGCAGAACTAGCTGTCGGCATTTAATGAATGGCGGTAATATTATGAAGTGAGCAAGAAAAAAGCAAGTACTATTAATAATTGAACCGTACTTTTTTTTTATACATACAATACATTATTATTGTTATTCTTTTTTTTAAAAATGTTAATTCTCTACGTCAGCAATAATCCATTTATCATAAGAGAATCGCTTCAAGTATTACGAAATTGCTCCGTTACACCAAGCTTGAAAGGCACTTAGAGAAAAACAGGAATGCTGTTTATTCTTTAAAAAAAACAATTTATTTGAATAGTGCTTTTTTAAAAAGAAAATAGAGCAAAACAAAACAAAACAAAGCGAAACAAAACGTTCGCTTTCTATCTAGCAACTAAGAGATTGTGAGTGCATTGTACAAAGTCCTAATTATTTTGTTCTTTTCTCGTACGTCGCGTTGTATTTCGTCCTTTCGTATTCTTTTTCTTTCTCTAATGGGCGTGCATATAATGGTATACTTTGTATGAAAACAAAATTTTCGATAAGAAATAAATAAAGTAAAGCATAATTTCATCAGCACTAATACTTTTGTTTTTATCAAAAAGCGTTACAATTATTTCTATGAGATATCTCAAAAGTCATAATTACTTAATAGATGCGAGTAATTCCATGACTAAACAAGCTTAATCTGAAATAGTTTTTTTTACCAAACAAAAAAACCGTCCAGAGAGTGATTTTCGACTTGGAATCTTATGTTTTATCACATAATTTCGGTCTGCACCTTTTGCTATATATAGTTGTTAATGTCTTTAGAGCATCAGAAAAATCCTACCACAAACAGATATTCACTTTTATTTACTGTGTATAATCGCCATCTCTGAAACTTTTCGATTACTCTAAAAACATTAACCTTCTCAAGGCAAAATTTCGATAGTACAATCAGGTAGATCTTAATCCAAATTATTATGCGTAAGAGTGAGTTCGTGTTACAAAACCATTTATAGTGATCAACATGAGTATAATTTATATAAAAGCTTTAGTAAAACAAGAAAAATGAAATAATTCTTTTCTGACTTTGATCAGAGTTCAATAATAATATCAAAAAAAATCCTTTTATAAGCCAAAAGAAATTCATTGTTTTTAGATATGAATATATAGCTCTAATTAGTACGAAATAAGTAAAAGTAATTTCTTCGATTTGAAACACACATAAAATCACTTTGCAAGTTGAACATTCTATTGAAGAGCGTTATTCATTATTTTTAGAGTTTCAGTAGAATATCAGCATGGGAGACATCAAAATCGTTTACTGAAGATATGCAGCTAACTAGTTATTCAGCAATAATAACTAAAAACTGCAAATATGTCATTTTATTATTTGCATGATTCTTGAGAGTGAGGGTGTCGATGTGAGAGTGAATAGAAAGAGTAGATACTCACACTGACTAGTGGCGTAACCAAGGCCTGGCGGTACCAGGCCATCGCTCTTCTTTGCCAGGCCACCCACGAAATCCTGGTTACGCTACTAACGCCGACACCCTTAAATGAATCATCTTAGGAAACAATTTATGAAATTTAGTTTTAATGAACAATTCGAATCACTTTATTTTTATTTAACAAAATTCATTTTATTTATCGAAAACATTTTAATCATAAGATATTTGAAATTTTTGAATTCGATGATTATATTGATCAACAACATAAAGATTCCCTTCATCATCAAATGATAAATGAGTGGGTGAATTCAATTGATTTGATTCTTCTCCTTTTCCATTTCCGCCTGCAACTAATATTCCATGTGTTGTGTCTCCGTCTTTCCAACGTCTTACTTCGTTCTGCCCAATTTCAGATATATAAATAGATCCATTTTTATCCATTGCCAGATGAATAGGTAGAACACCAAAAACGAGAATTTTATGATAGGTTTGATTTTTACGAAACCATCGAACTATTCGATTTTTACCAAACTCAAAAATGATCAAAGCATCATTTTCTTTATCATCGATCATATCCATTAGATAACACAATTGATCATTTTCATCTCCGGTTCTATTTCCGCCTGCAATGATTTGACCATTGTTCGATCCATATTTCCATTCAACAATACGATCATTCCCTTTATCAACAATAAGAATAGCTTTGTTCTCATCAATAATTATGTTACTAGGATCAAAGAGTTGATTTAATCCATCTCCTTCTCCATTTCCTCCAGCAACAGTAATTCCTTGTTGATTATATTTTTTGTATTTTGGTCGAGTTTCTTTTAAAAGTGAGATCAAAATAAATTTAATAAAAAAAGAAAGGCATTATCAATTTTTTCTTTAAACCTTACCTTCTGTTGTTAATTTAGTCAAAGTTTCCGTCGTTATTACTGTTGTTGACATTTGTTTGACGTCGGTTTTTTTTGTTTTAATAACAATGATTGGGATAATTATTATTAAAATAAGAAGAACAATAGAAATAATGATCCAAATTAATTTTCTTTTTTGAAAACATTTTAATCTCCATTGATTAGTTGATGTTTCTTCTGAATTTGAATTGACTTGTTCATTCTAAAATATAATTTATGTAAATTAAAATTATTTTCAAAAATAAATTACATCACAAGTTTCGATATTGTTCAATTCCATAATTAATATTTTGAGAAAATTGAACACTTGCCAAATACTCTTACAATGAAAAATCTAGAAAAAACGAGAATGAAGAAAGAACGCAGAGGGGAAATAAATCCAATAGACAAAAGAGAAAAAAAGAGAATGAAGAAAGAGCTCAGAAGGGAAATAAATCTAACAGAGAAAAGAGTTAAAAAAAATTTTCTCTGATTAATAACTTGAAGTCATTTTTGTATAAAATGAGGACAATAAGTTTTTTAGAAAATTTTAAACACACGCAGAAGAATTTAATTTAACTTTTAGTGATGAATAAAAACATCAAAAATATTCACAAGGTTTTCCTTTATAAACTTTGTTATTTTCTTGTATTTATCAACAACAATTAGATGAACAAACTTGAGATTGCTCTTTCGAAACATTTTCAGTTAAATAAATGTTAACAGAAAACTAAATATTATGGAAACAATAGATTTTTTTCTATTTCTGTGCTTAATGAAATGATCTGAAATATTTGATAAATAAAAACAATGAATTGATTCCCCCTTTTATCAAACTAGTTTATGAAAGTCATCATTTGGAGAAGGAAATGGAAAGTTTCCTGAAAAAAAGCAGACGGGAAGATCAAATGAAATAAAATAGATTTTTATGTGTTAAAGCGAAAAAAATATTCATATTAGAAATTTGAGGTTTGAGGGTGTGGGTGTCACTGTCTTTTGTATATTCCTTGTCCACACCCACACCCAAGTTATTCACTTTCACTGAATTCATATTTTACACTGATATCGACACAAACTGATGTTTTAATAAATATTTCTTTTTCATAAAGGCAACATTTGTTAAATATCACACTTTATGTGCACATGATATTCATATTTGTTATTCATAAATCATTTAGCGGAAGTACGTCAATTTGCGCTTCACTAACAGATTAATATATAAAAAAATGAGTGCATATATGCTTGTGTTAGTTGGAGAAAAAAATCATTCTTCATGTTATTGAGAAGAAAATATATTCATTTATACAAAATTACTAAACTATGATGATATTAACTGCATTGTTGATTTTCAACCTATTCATACCGTTGAATACTCGTTATTCACTCCATTATTCTGATATTCGTCAAGGTTTTTATCCAACATTTGATTGTTTATATACTTATTTAGTTGATGTCGGAAAAGAAAAGGGAAAAGATTATCTCCAAAATTCTTATTTAACTCCTTATTGTAGAAGACCTGATGTAAATGAAGAACAAGATGAAACGTTGTATCCAGTTTATGAAAATATAATAAAAACATCAAGTTTTAAGGAGTTAAAAAGGCAAAATGTGACAAGTGAACAATTACTTCAATGGTTTTCACCGATAGATATTGCAGAAAAATACGAAATGTATAGAAATGATTCCGATGTTTTTCATAATTGTTCATTACCTTGGTTTGGTTCAATGTGTCAATATAAATTTAATTTTGATTTTGATTCATATTTATCATTCAGTGATATTGTTCAAGCTACGACTGATGCCAAGACAAAAAATGCATCTGATATTTCTACTAGAACATATTACGGACTTTTAACTAGTTGTAATCGTGGATCATGGCCATTATGCCTTGATTGGCGTGAAATATGTGATGGAAAGTTTGATTGTATCAATGGAGAAGATGAATATATGTGTGATCAATTAGAAATGACTGAATGTAATAGTAATGAATATCGATGCCATTATGGTACTCAGTGTATTCCATTGGTATTTCTAAAGGATGGCAAAGTTAGCATTGATTGTCTTGATGGTAGTGATGAAGCAGTTGAACGCTTATTTCACACTTCACAGATAAACTGGAATTGTTTACCTATATCTACATTTCGATGTGAAGAACAGATTGGTCGATATCCTGAATCGTTTCAATGTGGTGATGGTGAATATTTACTTGGTGTTACTCTACCAATTACTATGGTTTCTTGTTCGAATCAGAGAGATAAAGAAGTATCTCGTGCTATGCTTACTAATATGGAACATATTTCAAGCATTAATTGTCGAGAAACATTCTATTGTGCACTTCATTCCAATCGAACATTTGGTTCTCGTAAGCAGAATTTTTCGCTTAACTGACTGATTTTTATAATATTTTAGGAGGAATTGATCATAATGGTATGGAGATGGTGCCAATTTTGGAAGATATTAGAAATGAAGAGTGTGAATCTTTATCCCAGTATTGTGAATCGGAATGGTTAGTAATACCTGCATATCCTATTTTATTTGGATTTTTCCAATTTATCTATTTTACTAATCGATCAGTTGATGAATTTAAAACAAATATTAAACCTGATTTAATATGTTTTAACGCACAAGCATGTCCTGCATTATTAACAGAAATACATCCTATTAAATTTCTTGATGGATTAACATGCTGTCATTCTTCGGATCTAATATTTGGTGATGAGATGAAAGACTTCAATTACATAGATGCAATGTTCTCATATCGTAAGCATGATTGTGCAAGAAAAGGTATTGAAAAATCATGTAAAAATTCATCTTATTTTTATTGCAATGAATCTATGAAATGTATTTCATTTAATCGTGTTGGTGATGGTAATAATGATTGTTATTTTGGAGAAGACGAACGTTTTAACGCTTGTCAACTAAATGATTCAAATCGATTTCAATGCTCATCAGAAGAAAATAAATGTCTATCGTTAGTTGCAGTTGGTAATACATTTGATGAGTGTCGTTTAGGAGAAGATGAACTATTTGCATATACTCAAAATTGGGCCAAACTAGTACAGTTTCCATATTTATGTAATAATGAACATCATCCTGGTATTAACTTCGATGGATTGAATGACACAGATGAAACTAATTGTGACTATTGGCCTTGTGATAATCCATATACACATTGTAATCAGTATTGGAATTGTCAACATGGTACTGATGAACTTAATTGTCCTAATTCAAAATGTTCTTTTAATGAACATGAATGTTATAATCAACAATCTGGATTATCTTATTGTCTATCATTGCATAATACATATGATAAATATGTCAATTGTTGTAATGAAACATACGTTGAACGTGAAATCTACTTTTATAATGGAACTTTTGATATTAGTGAAAATTATTTTTCATGGAATGATAGTGAATATATTACTTTAGATAAAGTCTGTCGTATTGATCAACATTTGCAACCATCATTCATAACAGAAGATATTTGTTTTTATCCACCAGAAAATTCTTTTTCGCCAGATGGAAAAACTGTTAAACTTATTCCGAACAACGAATACCTCTGTCATTATATTAACTCAGAGTTTCCAAAATATTATGATCTTTTTTTCAAAACTTTACGCTTAGGATATTTTCCATCAGTATTAATGAATAATTCCATTGCAACTATTTCTAAAACAAATCAACTGAAAAAAACAACGTTTAATATTAGCAATGAATTCATTTCATATTGTCATCGTGGTATTCTTGTATTACGTGGTCGAAATCAAATAAAAACATGTTTTTGTCCACCTAATTATTATGGTTCTCAATGTCAATGGCAAAATCAACGTATTAGTTTAACTATTCAATTAGTATGGCGTAGCAATCGATTCACACCTGTTGTATTTCAAGTTCTAATTATACTTATTGATGAATATGGACAAATAGCACCTTATTATGAACAAATTATTTATATTCCAAACCGTGATTGTAATACAAAGTTTAATCTTTATTTACTTTATCCAGAACGACCAAAATCTCTATCAAATAATTATTCTATTCGTATTGATATTTATGAAAAAATCAAATTAGAATATTGGTCAAGTTGGCATTTATCTATACCTTTTCAATTCCTACCTGTTAATCGAATTGCTACTCAATTAATTATTCCTGAAATGAAAAATGAGAAATCCACATGTATTCTATCATGTGGAGAACATGGAAAATGTATGAATTATGTAAATAATAAATCTTTATTCTTTTGTCTATGTGATAATGGATATTCTGGTATTAATTGCAATATCACAAATCAATGTAATTGTGCAAATGATTCGTTATGTTTGAGTTCAGACATTTGTATTTGTTCGTTATATAAATTTGGGCCTTATTGTCATTTAACGCATTCAATTTGTCAATTATCAAATAATTCATGTCAACATAATGAACTTTGTGTACCGAATGATTACCGTATTGATTTAAATACATTTACTTGTCTTTGTCAAGATGAATATTCAGATGAACGTTGCGAAAATAAAAATAATCGTATTGATATACATTTAAACAAGGAAATTCTCTGGGAACATTCATTATTATTAATCCATGTGATTACATCATTTGATCAGAAAGAACATGAACGAAGAATTTTATTAAAAAAAGTTCCATATAATCAAAATATTTTAACAATTCATTTAACACAACCATTTCATATTATTCTAGCTGAAATAGTTAATGAATCCTTTTATTTACTAGTAGTTCGAGAAGTATTTCAACCTTCTGAATATATTCAAACAAAAATCGAATCAAAACAACGTTGTCCTTCAATTAATAATCTTTTAAATGATACAGTGCGTCAATATAGTTATTTGAGACGAACTAAATATTATCCATCATTATGTCATACAAATTTAGAATTAATGTGTTTTTATGATGAAGTTCATATGTGTATATGTGATCGTAATCGATTCTCTAATTGTTTTCTATTTAATCAAACAAGGAATAATGATTGTCAAGGTTATAATTATTGTGAAAATGGTGGTGAATGTTTTTTTAATAATCAAACATGTCCAACTCAATTTATGTGTATATGTGATGATTGTTATTACGGTGCAAAATGTCAGCTTTCAACAAAAGGTTTTGGTTTTTCACTTGATTCTATTCTTGGTTATCATATTAAACCAAAGATTTCACTTAATCAACAACCAGTAATTATTAAAATAACTATTTTTATTAGTACTATGTTACTTGTTATTGGATCAATTAATGGATTCTTATCAATAGAAACATTTCGTCGGATCAAATCGCGACAAGTCGGTGCTGGTTATTATCTTTTATCTTCATCGATTATTTCAATATTTATAATTATTTTGTTAACATATAAAGTTTGGGAATTAATTTTATCCCAAATGTCTGTAATAACTAATCGATCATTCCTTTATTTTAATTGTGTTACAATAGATGTGATCCTTAAAATTCTTCTAACATTCAATGAATGGTGTAATGCATGTGTAGCTATGGAAAGAATGATGAGTGTCATCTTAGCGACTCGCTTTCAAAAACAGAAAAGTATAAAAATGGCTAAATGGGTAGTTTTAATTACATTTATTTTTACAATACTTACACACATTCATGAACCAATACGTCGTGAATTAATCGAAGATTTTGATATTGATGACTATCGAATTTGGTGTTTTGTTCGATATTCATCATCTGTTCGAAAGTATAATTCATTTATAACACTTTTTCATTTTCTTGCTCCTTTTTCAATTAATATCATATCTGCTCTTTGTATTATTATAACATTAGCTTATAGACGTAGTGCTGTCGAACAAAGTGAAACATTACGAGGTCATTTAAAAAATCAAATACAACAACATGCACATGTTTTATATTCTCCATGTATATTAATATTATTAAGTTTACCTCGTTTAATTATTTCATTTGCAAATAAATGTATGCGATCAGCACATCAACCATGGTTACATCTGATTGGTTATTTTCTCTCATTTATTCCATCGATGTTATTATTTATTGTTTTTGTAATGCCATCAAAAACTTACAGACGAGAATTCAAAGCATGGACTAAACAAATATCTCAAAAACTTTGTACAACTCGATAATCTTCTTCTCGCTTTTTTTGTTGTATTATTTCTACAGAGGGTGTGTGACTATGATATACTATTTTTCTCGAAAAATAAACAAAATAACTACCACCATAAACAGACTGCGGAACTGTGAACAAAATCACTTTCAAATGAATAGTCATTAAATAGTTGTTCTTGATTGATCATAGTTTGTAAATCGTCTACCATCGCTGATTGTACACCTGAAATACGTAACGAGAAGAGACGGCAATTTTTTTCGGATTTTTTCAATGATAAAAAGTGTTTGATTGAATTGAGGTCATATACTCCTATACGAATATCGAGTATTTCCAATTGATGAAAAAGACTAATAAAAGCATTGATACATTCAAGTGTGTATCCATGATAAATAGTAATTTTTGTGATTTTGTTGTTTTTTGGTAATAAACAAGTATGTTCAATATCAGTTGCTTGCGAATGAGGCATATGAGAAAGATAAAGTGAATGAATATTAGGCACATTAAGAAGAAGTTCAAATAACATTGGCAAAGTGAGATTGACATAGTCAATAGAGAGTTTTGTTAGTTTTGTCAAATGCATACAGCGATTAAGATCATTAATAAATGATTCAGTCCATTGGTCATCATCACAAATAAATGGTACAGTAAGTGCTAATGTAGTAGCACATGGGAATTGAAGTGAACAATCTGCAATTGTTTTTTGAGATCCTAAAATCGATACACTGCAAGCCAAATTATTACCAGTATATTGAATGGGACAGGTTTCATTGTCTTGATGTTCAAATAAATCGTAGTTGTTGTTTTTCCTAAGACAGAAAAATAAATATAAGAATGTAGATGTTTATTTAATAATACCAATAAGATTGACTTGAATAGAAATCTGCCGAATGAGCATTCCAAAAGTAATAATGTCGATGAACAAAGTGCCATTTTCGTTTGATCCAATACGATGAAGTAAATTGATTAATCAATGTATGATATGCAGCATATTCAAGATCATTTTCATCAATCACATTCCGATGAAAAAAATCGAATTTATGTAAATTAGGTATATAATTCGAAAGAATCCGTTGCCATCGTTGAGCATTCAAGTACGTTACATCTTGTGCTGCTCTATAGATACGTAATACTTCTAGTTTTTGAGAGTCCACTTTGGAAACAAATAATTCAAACTCATCAAATGGTAATACACAATTTTCTATAGAGATATGTGTTAAAGTAGTTGGTAATTTTAACAGAACTGTTCCAGTATCCTTAAAACCATATAATGAACGACATGATAAACGGCAAAGTCTAGGCGTGTATGACACAAGAGCATTCAGTTCATCTAAATAACACATGCCAGCGATAATTAAATGCTCAATCGGGCTAGAGAGTTCATGTTTTCCAGCAACAGCCAATAATGTGCGTGATCGAACATCATGTTTGAACTCAATCTTGGCATATCTCAATGCGGGCAAACGAAAAATCAAACGATAGACATCATTATGTTGTTTAAAGATATCAATAATTGTAATAGTTAAATGGAAGAGTCGAGGAGCAGATGCTAAACAAGTAAGAAATGATATGAGTTGAGTTGCATGAATACCGTCAAGAATAAGTGATTTAAGACAAGCGAATGATGCATCAATAGTGAATTTTGAAAGAAAGAAATTAATAGTGAATACATTCGATAAACGAAGTGATACAATCCGATCGATGTTAGGAATAACACTAAATTCACAGCGATGTTGAAAAATAGGTTTAGGTGTAAGTAACATATTGATTTTGAATGAAACAGGTGAATAATTGAGAAGATATTGGAAGCGTTCATTTAAATTAGCAAACGCTTCATACAAATGACAACCATCAAGAAATTCGAATATTTCATAGATAAGTTCATTAGAAAGATCTTCCAAGCCAGTGGTTATCAACCTGCGTAACAAACAAAAAATTGAAATCATAGACTAGAAAAACAGCTTTTCAGTTAATTACCCTTGTTTGTCATTGTCTATTGATAAAAGAGTAAGAAATAATTGACGCTTAATAAATAAAAAATTAAATGCTTCAACTTACTTGATAATTTCTTCGTATTTTCATTCATTATACAGATAGTACTCTGAGTTTTACTCATTAGAATGATAAAAAATCATAATCTGAAAATATAAGGAAGCAAATAGTCTGACATGAATAATCATTAAGACTTCATATACATATAAAAAAGACTAGAGAAAAGGTGCATATCATATAAAAAGAAAAACGCAAGCATACAGTTATCGTCCACTGTTAGTTGAGTGGATGTATTATATAGAACAGCAAATAATTATTCATCGTATGCATATGTGGCTTGCACACGTGGCAACATCAATACATATTGTGACTCAAAAGAATGTGCGCGATGTGTCATCACATCAATTGAAAAATTTTAGAAATTTAAATATAATAAACTTCGATTATTTTAGTAAAATATGTTTGTATTCTGTGTCGTATAGTATCATATTTCTATAGACAACTGGCTCTCATAGATGAGAATCAATGTTCATTATGAAAAATTTCACTAGATTATAATTCTATCATCTGTTAATGGAACCAGCGTGGTGTGGGCGCAAGGGCTACATAAGGATCTCACCCATACCCACAACCACGTCTTTATTATCTTTAGAAATATAATTTTAAACAAAGAATGTGATTATGGATGATCATTTTTAATATTTTACACATTTTTATTAGAAAGAAAGATTTATTTGAAGTTTTACTTTGAAAAACTTTTCTTGTGAATAGAATAAAGATTAAATAAAAAAGAAAATCAATAAAATATACAATGATAAATCTAATTTTTAAAAAAAATTATCGATATTTTTCAACCTTTGTTTTATATTTATGTTTAAATTTATCAACTTGTATTTGTTTAGATCGTGTATTAAAATAACCTAATCGCGCTACTTGTGATTCATTTAAATATAAATCTGAATTTTTTGTTAACGATGTTGATTCAGTCGATTCTTTATTCGATAAAAGACCAGGAGTATCAAGAAAAATAAATGATTCTGTTTCAGTTTGTTCAATATTTTGTGAAAGATTATAAGTACTCCTAGAAGGTTCATTTACATGATTTCCACATAATCTACTGAGTAAAGACGACTTCCCAGGACTTGTTGCTCCATCTGTTATAATATATGATTGTTTTATTAGCTTATTTATCATATGTTCAAAATAACCTTTCCAGAGAAAATCATTTTTAAAATCAATTGGAATCATTTGATTATCCTCATAAAAATAAATATTTGAATCAATTCTATAATTTTGTTTAATATCATTTAATAAATAAACTGGATGTTTTTAAAAAATAATGGAAAAACATATTCTTCAAGAATTGTATAGGTATGATAACGAAATTGTGAACTGAATATGTTTTTATTTGAAAATATCACTGAAATTAACGAGAATACATATTCAATTGTTCGTGAATCATTTAAGTTATGTTCATTTCTAGTTAAAGAAAGAACAAATCGAGTAGCAATATTTCGAACTCCACAAAGATTTTTTGCTCGATGATATATAAAACGTTTATCTTGATTATTTAAAGACTTGGATTGATTTAAACAAAGATAATCAAACAATTGAAGGACATCGAAAATATTTTCATTTATTGATAAATCATTCAATAAACTATACGGTTTTTCATTATTAATTGAATTTAAAATTGGAATTAATAAATTATAACATATTGGATAGTGTAATATGTACTCATTTTTATTATTTTTTATTGACAAAAAATCATCGTTACGTGATATTAATGTTAAGAGATATGGAATACGATGAACTTCTTCTTCACTTAATTCAATAATTTTATCACAATTATCAAAACCAAATTTGTACATTGTTTGGATAAGATCGAGATGTTGAAATAATTTGTTTTTATATGAGAAAATATTTAATCGTGCAGAGGTAAAAGAATAATTTACATGTTTTTACCTTTTCTTTGTTTGCCAAATAATGAATCATTTAATAATCTTTGGTTGGTTTTTTCCATTTCTATCGTCATTATTACACGTTAAATCATCTCTATGAAATAAATAAACTTTTGACAAAATTAAACCAATTCTAAAAAGTTAGTTTGTTATATAACGTGTATTTATTTTAATAAAGAAATAATTCATCATTGTATATTCATTATTGAAATTAGTCAAATTTTCATTACGTTACTAATAATATTTTTATAAAAATTTCGATCTATTATTTTATGCTAATGATGTACACAGATCGAAATAAAATATTTTCATAAACATATTATTTAATGTAGTGACTAATCCTTAATATATTGACCGAAATCTTGTTAAGGGGCGTAGGTGTGGATGTGTCTTGCTTATCGCACTCACCCACATCCACCCTGTTTCACCAATAACGAGTTACCATCGTTTCTTATCGTCTCTTTAGTCAATACTTATGCAGAATAATCTATTTCTGTATTTTTACTTCGTATATATATATACGATTTACAAAAAAATTAGTGTATATTTGTAATATTACATTGAAGAATACTGATTAGAAATGATCATTTGAAAGAACAAAAGTTTTCATGTTACATTCATTAAAAGATTTTTTATATCTTCATTATGGTAGTTATTTTATAGAAATGCGTGTCTATGAGGAAAAAAACATCCGATAATTACATATTGTGTGCTAATTTATGAATAGAAAATGCATAGTATGATCAAGATATTCGTAAAAAAACTTATTTTTAATATATTCTTTGCACAAGAGTGACTTTGTAAGCACGTAATAAATTAACCCAGACAGATAAGGAGCGAAAAATACGGCGTTTCTACGCATAAAATGTGCGCTTTTTACGCGACGAAAAAAATATTTTTTCAAAAGCAAAATGATGGAGACACGTTTTATTGTTAGCAATTCGACCTTTTCTACGAAAAAAGTTATTCTCTTCAAGCGTAAAAAGCGCACATTTTTACGCATAGAAACGTCGTATTATTCGTTCCTCGTCTGTCTGAGGATATATCAGTTGGATGGGTATGGATTTGAGAGAGGGTACATGTGTGAGTCAAGAGACAGAATGTACCCACACCCATCTTGGGGGTGGGTGTGGGTGTAGGTGAGGGTGGATGAGTGTGAGTGTGGGTGGGTGTGGGTGTAGGTGAGGGTAGATGAGTGTGAGTGTGGGTGTGTGTGTGGATGTGAGTGTGAATGTATGATGGATATATAATATATATCCACACCCACACACACACCCTCACCCACACTCATGTCCACACCACACCCTCACCCATCTACCCACACACACTCACCCACAAAATGTTTTTATCGTTCGTCTTTTCGAGTTTCTTTTTTCTGTTGCTTTATCAACACTTGAAGAATGTAAGTGACTGTGCATGTTTTTGTTGATGCCTGATAAGAGACTTCTCGACGATGAAATATCAAGTTACCAGTAAAAATTTCCAACTATATGTTTCCGTCATAAAAGAAGGCGTAGAGCAAAAGTTTTTTTTTAAAGTTCTAATTTCACTTAACTGTCGAATAAATGAGGATTCTCGAAGGTGAGCGTAGACGCGGTGTGGTTTGGGTGGCTCAGGTTGGTTATGGGTGTGTGTAGGTGGGTGAGTATTGACGTGAGTGTGAATGAAGATAATAAACCCACACCCACACCCACCCTCACCCCCCAACACCTACACCCTCAATTTTTTCTTTGAAAATAGTGAAGAACGAGCAGCACTTAAACGACAAAAAGCGGTGAGAGAATCAAAGCTACCACTACAGAAGGATGTGAGCGATAAAAAATGTCAATAAAACAATCTCTCTTTCACAACATTAACAAAGATCACGCATCGCCCATATTACAAGAATAAAACAGCTGCAAGTTCCGTGTATCCTCACTTACGAGAAACTATCTCCACTGTTTACGAGTTTTTAGCTTCATCTTACAAATACAGGTAAGCCTAAGTGACACTAGGAAAAACCTAAAAGGATTCGTGACCACGGCGGATTAATCAAGAGTTAAGCACGATTTACTGAATTTCCAACCAATCTATGGGTACTCTTTGAGAAAATAAATAACGTGATTCCAGTGTAAAGTTTTGCTCAAAGATAGGTCTCACAATCGTTAGAAGATCGTGACATTCTTATCCAAAAGGTATGTGTCTTTCTCGAAATCGTGAGGGTGTAGGTGTGAATGTGGGTGGGTGTAGGTTTGAGAGAAGGTACGCGTGTGAGGCAAGAGACAGAATATACCCACACCCACAACCACACCAGCCGACACCCTCATCCATCTACCCACACACACTCACCCTCAAAATGTTTTTATCGTTCTTCTTTTCGAGTTTCTTTTTTCTGTTGCTTTATCGACACTTAAAGAATGTAAGCGATTGTGTATGCTTTTGTTGATAATTGATAAGAGACTTTTCGACGATGAAATATCAAGTTACCAGTGAAAATTTCCAACTATATGTTTTTTGTCTTAAAAGAAGTCATAGAATACGAGTTTTTTTTAAAACTTCCAGTTAGACTCGGGTGTCGAATAATTGAGGATTCTTCAGAGTGAGTGTATGTCTGAGTGGCTGAGGGTGAGTATGGGTGTGGATGAAGATGACACATTTACGCCCACACCCACAATATATCCAAACCGTTACCCACACCCAAGAGTTTTTAATGCTTTCAGATTATAAGTCGATCAGTGAACGCATCATTTTCATCATTCAAAATAGGACACAGAGAACGGTAACTATGGCGCATGTAGCATCGACAAGGCTGAAACCTTTGAAATGTATTGAGTGGATGTGGCAGGCGAACCCAAATCCATGGTCAAAGTCTGAACCAGCTAAATGGAGTCACTATTCCGATGTCGAAAACTTAATCATCGAAGAAATGTTCTCCAGAAATCAACCACGAGCTATATTCGATCGCTACTACATTGACTTCAAGCATATGATTCAAACCTTCAACGATGATCACCATAAACAGAGACCCGTAAAGCGAGTAGAATGCAACAAAGAACATAAGCATTTACGAGAAGAGCGCTTTATGATCGCTCCCATTACTGCAAAACGTTCGGCGGGTGGTGAATATGGCTGGATATCACCTTTCATAATAGAAGTGAGAAGAGACTTAGGTCTTAAAAAAAATCAACTACCTTCTAAAGATGAAAAACTCATTCCGGAGCTTGTTGAGAAAGCTGCTCTCGGCATTATCGAAGAAGGGACACAAATCGAAAGACGATGTGAAGCCGAAAAATTGGCCAATTTGCTGAGAGAGAAAAAATATAAGAAATTTAAAGAAGTATGGGAACACTGTGCCTACCTCTATTCTTTAGAAAGTTTCTTGTACAAAAGCTTGAACGAGGCCATGAGATCAGTTGGAAAAAAAGAGCACGAACAGCTCTGGCGAAGTAAGATTCGTACATTAGGACCATTTTCTTTATTATTGTGGGATGATCCCATCAATAAAAAAGTAAAAAGAGACACGAACCTTTATCGCGGAGCTGAACTTAAACCTGAAGATATTGCCATGTATAAAGATTTGGTGAAGAATCCTGATGAATATCGCTCATTTCAAGCATTTACATCATGCAGTCGTAATCGTGCAAGAGCAGAAGGGTTTGGAAATACTTTATTCATCATAAAGGTGTTGTTTGCTTTCACCGCCGATATCAGTTCAATATCTCAATATAAAGAAGAAGAAGAAGAACTTGTGACACCAGGTGTTTGCTTTTGTGTTCAAAATGTTCAATTTGATTCCAAAACAAACAAACACTTGATTACCTTACAACTAATACAGCGTTGGTCGAGTAAGTGTGAAGAACGTTTTCTTGATGATTTTGATACTATATTAACTGTTTTCCTAAATGCTTCAATGCTCACCTGGCAATTGATCAAATGAGATTATTGAATCTACAATAGTTCTATTCGATTACATTACTGCTTAATTAGGATTCGAGTTGAAGGCTCACAAATGTCAAAAATATTAAATTCAAACGTTCCATCAGAGTGAAAGATTCATCACTAATGGTGATATGATTTCAAACCGAGACTGTTAGTTCTAAAGACCAGTAACTTCAAAAACATTTAAATCTATCGTTTTGACATTCATAAATAAGACCGTAAAACTGGTATTGAGCTCAGCTTTTAAAAAGTGTTCCCAAAACTGGTGATCTGAAAATAGTAAACTCAATGTTTAATACCAGCTATTTGCAAGATCTCTCTAAAAACCTATGAATATTGTCGTCAACACGTAGTGTTGCGTATTTTCCGCTGCAATTCGCAACATTTTCATCACAAAGACTCCATTTTGGGTTAAAAACACGCCTTTCTATATCAGAAAGAAAAACCTACATCGAATTAAGCAAATTTCAACTATATTTTTGACCTTTCTTTTTTCGAAGAGCGTCTCCTTTGTAGTTCCCAGAATATAGGACCAAAAATAAATCTGATCGGAGTCCATTGACAGGGGTGGCGCGACCGGAGGGGGGGGGTGTAACACCCCCAATCTTTGAAAACTTCTATTTTTTTGCTCAACAAAATCGTCAAATTCTCTTAATTTTTTGAACAAAGATCATGCTACACGCCCTAGAAAATCAAAAAAATTTCGCTACAACCCCCCCCCCCCCCGAATGCTGGCTGACTCGCGCTAAGGCTGTCTATTGATTATGGTTTTTATTAAGAATCCAAAAAGGTTTGAGTTGCAATGGAGATACGGCTGAGATATTCATTTTTTTTAATATATACTTTATCAAGAAGCCTGAGGAGGCCCTCAGGAATCGAAAAATCTTAGTTTTCATTTTTGGTGTGCAACACTGCATTTTTGAAGATCTCAACTACGTTAACTTCAAAAAAAATTTTAAAGTTTTTAATCAGTTCTCTTCGAGGTTTGAAATTTTTAAAATAGTGTAGGTTGCGTATACGTTAATTATTCATAAAAACTGTTTGTCCGTTAAAAATATCATATTTCAGAGACACTTGGTTCAAAACTTTTAAATTTTTTGTTCAGCGTTAATATAGTTGAGATCTTCAAAAATGCAGTGTTGCACACCAGAAATCAAAACTAAGGTTTTTCGATTCCTGAGGGCCTTCCTCAGGCTTCTTGATAAAGTTTATATTGAAAAAATTGAATATCTTAGTCATACCTCCAATGTAACGCAACCCTTTTCGGATTCTTTACTGGATCACTGTGTACCATCTATGGGCAAAATATCATTGTAATCCAAAGAGGACACTTGAAGAGGTTCCCTCATAAGTAAAACGTCAGCGATTAACCACCACCCATTATATTTGACCTTTCATCTTAAACTTTTGAGCAGATAGAGGTACTGAAAATTCCATATCCAATATTTACTCTTAAACCCGATATTGGGCTAAATGCTTATTATATGAGTTAACAACTAAACCAACTCTACAAATTCGCAAAACTAAAACTTAAAAAGCGATTTATCAGATCCTTGTTGTCTCTTGTCACGAGCTCTCAGGAAACCAGACGAACAGCCAAACACAATCCATAAGAAACCAAATTGAATCGATCTTAAAAATAGTAATATCCAAAAACACGATACATACTTAATTTATTTTCTTTCACCCTAATGATTTAAACGAAATAATACTTTTTAGTTGAAAACAACCAAGCAATCAGTAACACAGATATGTTGAACAGAAAGTCCGACGACTATGATGCTCCTCTTGATGGTCGTCCTGATCTTGATCATCGTCTTCGTCCTGTTGTTGTTCGTGCTGGTGTTAGTGCTGGTTGTCTTCCTGCTCGTTCTTATGCTTATCTTGATGGTGGTGATTCTTCTGATGATGCTGATTCTTATTATCTTGATGTTGATTCTTATGATCGTGATGGTATTTATGTTGGTAAAGACTGAGGCGTGCGCTGTGTTGCATCCGTCTGAAGATGTGACAGACATTCATTTTGCCGAATTTTTTTATTCTGGAGTATTTATTTCAAAATAGCATTCAAATCGGATGAGTGGTTTTTTCAATAAATGGAAAGAATGAGAGTTGGAAACAGTTTTTGGAATGTCTTGTTAACTTACCAGTCCATTCTCTTGTGTTCTGTCGGACACGTTAGATAAAGTAGTTTGGATACCTCCGGTTTATCCAATAGTAAGAGTATACAGAGGGTAAGAAATTTTATTAAAAGGATAATATTTCTTATGGCTAAAGACTCTGAATTATATCTACTAAAAAATTGAATAGGCTTTCTAAATAAGTAGCATTTTTATTTAATCTGTATGCTCTTCGTCAAAAACTGATGCCAGCAAAAACACATGAAAATTTACGATGGATTTCTGTATGGTTTCGACAACGTTGGTTTTCGATGATCTTCTTTCCGGCGAAGAGGCTTACATTCTTTTATTTGAGACTAACAGCAAATTACCTCGCTTCGAAGCATACATATTCTGATAGCATAATTTCATTTG